CATGTGTACGCCCATCGAGCCCACCACTGCACATCCCGCAGGCCGTGAACCACTTCATCCTTCCAGACTGTTCCCGTATCCGAACTGCTACCAACATCATTTTATTGACAAACTCGTGCGAGTCCCTACTCATATCATTCAATACGACAATTGCGTGAGGTTGCGTCCCCGAGAGATGAGGAGACACATGAATTACGAGAATGGTGACTGGGTAATACGTAGAGCGCTTGTCAAGGATATGGAAGGTAAGTTGCTGCTGCGTACTTCACTTTAACTCATTGCAATGTGTGTGTAACAGCAGATCGAGAGGTATGGAGTCCAGAGATCATAGTTCCTCACGATGAGGAGAATCCTGGTGTTCCACCTGCGATGGAAGTAGACGATGAAGAAAATGCCGCCGACACCGCTGGCCATAAGGAATCAGGTGATAACCAAGTTCGAAGCATTACGCCAGTGTCACGCTCAGAAATCGGATCCGTCAGTGACGAGATGTCAGTTTCCGATGACAGTAGCTCTATAAGAAGCCGCTATTCAGTCCAGGAAGATGGAGACGACAGTGGAGATCCCCCAGATCTCATGCAAGCTCTGGCCATCGTAATGACCGCGGGCGACAGGCTCAACATGGACATCGATACCCTGCCCCTTGTTCGTATCTCACTGGATCTTACCGAGGGCGGCAAATTTGAAGACCCTCGCGGCTTCCTGAAAGAAGTCGCTGCTATGACTGAGTGCGAAATAGTTTGATCTGCGTTCAAGATCACAACTGAGTGTATCGTCCTCAGGTTAATCCAACAAGCGCGCACCAATATCATTCGTGAATACAAGGCCCGCAACCTCCTATGGCAACACCGCAGATGCAGAGCGATATCAGGCTCGAGCAGCCTTTCGCGGATTCGATGGATACAGCCAAGATTACACCTCCCGAGTCGACCCATATTGAGAACTCTATCCAGGACGCACTCGTGTAGCTGAGGATAGGATCTCCGGCGGCCTCATGATGGGGAATGTTGCTGCCATGCGTCCTGGCGATGCAGCGGATACAGCCACCGAATCGGCAGGTCATATGCACGAACCAGCTACGGCAGTGGCACGTGGGCTAATGTCGATTCGTCGTCCGGTACGAACGGGAAAGGGCATCGTCAAGCTTCCACACATCTCGGCCAAAGGTGAGCGCTCCTGCACATACGGGTGTCGCGCATTGGTAAACAGTTATATTCGGACCTAGATTTGAAACCTGTTGCCATTATGCGCGCATCACGGCAGCGGTGTTCTACGCTTGTCAGCCGTAAGCGCCATGTTCTTCGTCTGCGCAAAGGCCGTGATGTTTCACACTGAGTGACTGATCGTTACATTGTTCTATACCATCCCGCATGTATAGTTATTAATTGTAAATACCAAGAGATTGTATGCGATTGAGTGATATCATAAGCACATAAGCCGGTCCTGTCGGGCACTCACCAATAGCATTCGGACGCAGATGCCGTATGCCTTGTCAAAACTTAATTTCCTACATCTTGCGGTTGTCTGCGCAGATGACAGACTCAGTACCCACTAAAGACCACCGTGACACGAACGGTCCGCGCCGACAGCACGACCTTGACAAAGCAGCAGGAGAAATAATCTACGGCCTGGCAGGGGAGGGTTCGGTACAACTTCTGGAGTCGCGGGAGTACGAGAAGGCGTCGGTATACCAGATTGCGCTGCAATCTTGCATCGTGTCGTTCTCGAGCAGCATCATCCAGGCTAAGACATTCAAGGATAACAGCGAGAGGCAGCTTTCGTCGAGGTTCATAAGCGTATGCAAAATAGCGGTGAGTTTCCAGTAATCATAGAATGCGCAGATACTGATCTATATCAGAGAGCTAGTCCGTGTCTGGATGATGGGGAGCCGTATCAAGGGCGTATCTATGTGCATTATCCGACAGCATTAACCTTGTTGTCAAGTTCAAAGACGGGATGCTGAACTACGCCGCCAATGTCCTCGTGATGTCCCGAAGCCATAGCAGCACGGAACAGCTCCACAAGGACCTCAATACGAGATTTGGTGACCAAGTTCTCGCAATCGGCCAGCTCTGCTTTTACCTCAGATGGGTGGCTGGAGAGGAGATGGTCGCTGGAGATTTCGAGCGTGGTGACTTCGACGTGGAATCAATGGAGGGTACCGTTTCCACCAAGAGGACGACAAACACGACCGTCTTGCGCGATGCCGTAATGTGCACGATCGAAATGGGTTTGAACAGAAATGAAAGGAAGGGGTCCGAGATGCGTTCTGCTGTCTTATTGAAGCCAAAGGTGCTCATAGAGGCGGCGCTGGAGGAATTACGGCGGCCCGGAAATTCTGAGTCGAGTCGTGATCGGCGACGAGGTGATGAAGGGCGAGATTGCAAGGGAAATCACGTTGCGTCATAGACAGACAAGATGGAAGGCAATGAAGACGAAGGATTATCGAGTCCCACTGACGTCTTGCGTGTATTTTGCCCAGCAACGCCTGTGGAAGTGTACATCTTGACCAGCAATTGGCGATCGAAACAAGATATTCAAGAGCAAACGCTCGTGTACGTTGATCAAGTGACGATAGCTATTAGCGAAATTGATATATAAAGGATGGAGACGTGATATGGCGCTTATCGGGCTGCCAAATTGGTGAACATAAGGCGACACCTCCAATTCTGGTGGCGTCGCAATCGAATAGGGCGACGTACTGAAATCTACATACACATCAGCCACGGGGTGTCTGGCAAGAACGGAAGTCAGATATTGATCTTTTCGTAAAGCCTGGGGCTCCACGGGGACCAGCTGAGGTGTTGATGAGACCACTCCAACGCATGCAATCTCTTGGTATATCCTAGAAATAAGTATACATACGACATCGTATAGAACAATGGAACGATCAGTACATTCAGTGTGGGACATCACGGCCTTTGCGCAGACGAAGAACACGGCATATACGCCCGACAAGCGCTGAACATCGCTGCCGTGATGCCCGCACAATGACAACGGGCTTCAAATCTAGGTCCGAGTATCAACAATGCGCGACAGGCATATATGCAGGAGCGCTCACCTTTGGCCGAGATGTGTGGAAGCTTGACGATGTCCCTTCCCGTTTGCACCAGACGACGGATTGACATTAGCCCACGTGCGGGTTCGTGAATATGATCTGCCGATTCGGTGGGTGTATTCGCTGCATTCTGAGAGATACCAATGTCGCCAGGATGCGACGTGGCAGCAGCATCACCCATCACGAGGCCCTCGGGAGCCCCATCCTGAGCAGCTGGGTCTATGACAGAAGACGAATCCTCGACGAGCACGTCCTGGACCGAGTGTGTCGACTCGGGAGGTGTAATCTTGGTTGTATCCATCGAATCCGCGAAAGGCTGCTCGAGCCTGATATCGCTCTGCATCTGCGGTGTTGCCATAGGAGGTTGCGGGCCTTGTATTCACGAATGATATTGGTGCGCGCTTGTTGGATTAACCTGAGGACGATACACTCAGTTGTGATCTTGAACGCAGATCAAACTATTTCGCACTCAGTCATAGCAGCGACTTCTTTCAGGAAGCCGCGAGGGTCTTCAAATTTGCCGCCCTCGGTAAGATCCAGTGAGATACGAACAAGGGGCAGGGTATCGATGTCCATGTTGAGCCTGTCGCCCGCGGTCATTACGATGGCCAGAGCTTGCATGAGATCTGGGGGATCTCCACTGTCGTCTCCATCTTCCTGGACTGAATAGCGGCTTCTTATAGAGCTACTGTCATCGGAAACTGACATCTCGTCACTGACGGATCCGATTTCTGAGCGTGACACTGG